GTCACCCTAACAAGCACACAGATTCAATGACTAGATAGAGTTAATGTCATCTTCAGACAGAACTCTCCCTTGCAATATAACCAATGGTAATATTATTGTCATTGCCTTCCCGAAATCTGGCTGTCTCAAACTTTAAGCCAGGCTTGAAAAGAACAATTTCCTTGTTTCATTTACACACACATGCATTTGAACAACTGCAAACAAAATAAAACAAAAACATATAATCACAGGGCAACTTTGGGTAAATTTAAGCAACATTTTTTTTAACGCTAGAAGAGCAATTTCTTATAATGTAAGTCAGATAAATGTAATGAGTGATCAGGAATGTAAATGAATACATCCTCATACTATCCCAGTACACTGGTAATAATGATTATCTTAAGGAATGCTCTACTGTGATCTCTTCAAAATTACATAGCTCAAGGACTATGTTAAGAATTGCCTTATGGTGGATTCTATCTGCAGTTAGCCTTGCCATTATCAATCATTTGAAGCTGCTCTTAGAAATTTAAACCTAGATGTTCATCCAGCTTGTGCTACAAAGCACTAGAGACTTTATGCATCCTTATACAAGATAAGTTATACAGCAAAAGGAAAGGAAAAAAGTGGCCAGTGGAGCAAAGAACTTAAAGCAGAACATTAAAGGAGGTTTATAGAATTGTACAGCTGGAAGAAGCCATTTATGCCATGAAATCCAGCCTTCTACTGAATGTAGGAATCCACATTAAACAGTCTTTGATATATGACTGGCTGGTTTTTGCTTAAGCATGCACAAGGAAGGGGAAGTCATGCATTGTTCTTTTGATTTTATCTGGAAGGAATTCTTTTTTTGGGGGTGGGGTGGGGGCATCAAATACGATGCAAGCTCATCTTTGGAAAATTCCATGCAGTTTTTAAAAAGTGGGAGGAATGGCACTTTACAAAAGTTCTATCCCTTTTCAAATGCTAAAAATTTCTGTAGGTCAGCGTTCTGATCATAGATAGATAGAGAAAGAGAGAGAGAGACAGAGAGACAGACAGACAGACAGACAGACAGACAGACACACACACACACATGAGTCCTACTGGGCCAGCTTATCATGGCAAGGATTTGTTCTTGAGAGGAATGAGTGAAAAACATCAGGAGTGTAGGCCAAAAGTACATATTCCCTGCAGGCTCACCCAAGGTGTGAGGGTGATTCCAGCTTCCCTGCTAAACAAGCAGACATCTATATTGTGTCTAAGACAAACAGACACTGCCCAGCAATAAAACAGGAAGATAATGGAAGCCTTTAGTAACAATGGTAAAAGCATTAATCCATAATGTGCAGGAAAAGACAATGGTAGACCACTATTGTATTTTTCACCAAGAAAGCCGCATGGATAGTAATTATAAAATAATTGACAATATGGTGCTGGATGATGGGCCCCTCAGCTCAGATGGCACTCAACATGCTACTGAGGAACAGCTAGCAGTCTTTCAAGGTACTAATGCCATTTATGACATACAGTAGCTAGATTAAAGCTTTCAGGATGTGTAGTTGATGATGTTGCTATGCAGGAAAAAAATATCTAAAGCTGTCAAGACAGAAATACAGTAGGAATGTGGAACATAAAAAGCATGAACACAGGAAAGTTCAAAATACTGAAAGATGAAACAAATTGACTACAACTTTACATCTTAGGTATTAGTGAATTGAGATGTACTGAAATTGGACACTTTGAATATTATTCCGAAGAAAAAAGCCAATTTCCATGATATGATATTGAACATATACCTACCATTCAAGAACATCAGAAATTGCTTTGAAGGCCTGAACTTTACTGATTGAGAACCAGAGGAATTGTGAATGAAATGTAATTTTGTATTTTTCTGCTGTTTTGTCATGATATTTTCATATTTTGCTTTGTTTCTATGTTATACATATATTCTGAAATTCATTTATCTCTTGTACTGATTGACTACTATTCACAAGGCTCACAAATATGCACACAATATATGTGCAGAGTGTGTTCAATTTTTTAAAATCCTCAGAAAAACATCAAAGTATTATAAAATAAGTTGCAAAGTTTTAAGATTATATGAATTCACTACTAGCTCATGTCTGGATTTGCATGTTAGGCGAATCATTGTATAATCTACGTTTCTTTGTAAATCAAATATATTATTTCCAAGCTGAAAACAGAAAATCTATTAATTATTTTGATGCTGTTTAGAGTGAAAAAGAACTCTCCCCTTATTTATCATAATAGATTTGATTATAAAATGTCTGTGATAACTTGCAAAGGTACAGTACCACAATAGGATAAAAAAAAACCAAATTGACAATTTCTTGCGCTTGTAAAAATAATATAGATTTCACAAAATTGATCATGTTAACTAGAATTAACAAAGACTTGATTAAGCAACAATAAGCACAACTGCATTATCCAACTGCTGTTTTTATAAGTAAAATTATATTTAGGATACTCAGTCTTTCTAATTAAATATATTAACCATTTTTGCATTATTATGCATTTAATCATTAATGTATTCAATAGATTAGCTGTGGTTTATTAATAATTGCCCATTATTAATAGAACTATGTAGTTGTAAGCTAACCCATTTTCCTAGTTCGCATAACACCTTGAATAATAAACTTATCATATAGACTGCTTTGTATAACATGGCTAAATATTAGGGCTAAAATGAAGCCCATTTGGAAACCTTGAGAGAAACCAAAAGAGACAATCTTAAAATGTCCTTACTCCTGAGCTGACACTAGTTGGATTAGCAACAAGTATGAATTACAGTTAAGCTATTAAATTTATACACAGAATTAGATGGTGACTACCAAAGATAAAAAGCATTTAAGAAGCCAGACAAGATTAGTGCTTTTATAAAGTAGTTAAACTAGTTTATCAATAATTGCTCTTATCACAAAGATCTACATCCAGTACATTTTAGGAACAACACCATTGAGATAATATAGTGTGGGTGAAAAGTAAGGGTGAAGGGTATGTAGTTTAAATAAACTACACTCTTTGTGTTCTACTAATATATATTCCCTGATCATCATCATTGTAAAAGCAATGCTGCTACTTTCCCCCTTTTCTTCTTCCATCTCTTCTTCATATCATCTTATGCTATTATGCTTAGCCCTTGTATTCATTCATTCATTCATTCCTTATTTTTGCAAATAACTCAAGGTGGCAAACTTACCTAATACTCTTTTCACATAATATTTTCCTCACAACAACAATCCCTTGAGGTGGGTTTAAAACTCACAGTTTTCTGGTTTCTAGCCACTAACTCAAACTCTTTCTAAGATTTCTAACATAAGTTAGCTTAAATGAAAGCAACAAAGAATCATCAGTGTGATTATAAAGTCTATGTGGATTTTTTTTAATCGGCAAATGGGAATGTCAAGTGGACCTCCCATGTCCCAGCCCACACTAGCAGTAATTACAGTCCGTTTTCCTTTTTTAGCACACAGTTCAAAGATAGATCTCAGAGACAGATATCTGGGAACAGGATTTAAAGAAATAAGATGGTAGACCCAGTCATAATAAGGGTTATGAGTTCAGGTGTTACGCTAGGTTAATGTCTTTGCAGACATTGCATCATATGCAAGCAATGATTTATGCTGCTAGATTGAGAAAACCTGTCTCTGGATGTTGCTGGACCTTTAGCTGACCTCAGTCCTTTCAACCCAGACAAAAACACTAAACACTATTGCAAAAACAATGAAACTAACTATCTTGAAATGCTTTTGAAAAAACATTCTATTAGCATGATTGCCTTTACAACCAAAGATACACCACAGATTTCAATCAGGCCTTTCTCTTTCTACTTATAATAGTTGGGAAAGTACTTTACTGCCTGAAGTGATTCATGATATTGCTACCGTGAAATGTTAAGTTAAATTCTTGTTTAACTAGATCATGCACAACTGAGAGCTGTCTCTAAATGAAATTGCTTCAGAGTAGGAGCGTACTTTGTTTTAGGGCTCCAAAACCACTTTGGTCTTGAGTAATGCACTGAGGCCCTCCTGCAAAAGACAAATGGGGCCAAGCTAAAGAAAGTGCTAGGACCAGGATAAAAACAAACTGCCTTCTCCCATTCCACATTTTAGAAAGTAAAATGCTTATCCTCTATGTTATGAACTAACATAAACGTATTCAATAAAGTTTAACAACCTTAAATGAAAAGCAGGCTCGTAATCCTGCACTTTTGATTGGTCCGTGAATAGCAAGCTGGGATTGGTCCTTACGGGGCTATCTGATTGGCTATTAGCGGAACGTCTCCCATTGGGTACAATTAAACGTCTCAACGGAAGTCATTGGTTAATGGGACAGCAGCCAGCCCTATAAAAGAGCTGTTGCTGCCCAGGGTTTTTGCTCTGTTCCTGATTGTTAATAAAGAGTTGAAGTTCACTGTTCACAGCCTCGTCTCCGTTCCTTGCGCCCATGCTCAGAACTTAACACTCTAGGCAACTGAATTGACTGAAAGTTGCAGTTCAATAGCAAGTTCTGGGATCTGCTCCCAAGGCTTTGAAGATGCCTCAGGTTATGCTTTCCTTTCTTAGAACTATCAAAGGGAAGCAGATGCAGTCCAAGCTGTTCAAGTTGACTTCTCAGTAGCTGATGGGACCCCGATGTTGATTTTCCTCTTCAGGCTGTGCAGTTTCAATGAAGCTTTGGTCAAATTGCCTTCCTGATGGCAGATTTCTACATCAAAGCAGGGAAGAACATCTCAGTAGCAAATCAAATTGGGTGGCCATACAATTTTGCAGACATATTGGGCTTCTCTCCCACCCACCCACCTACCACAATGAATTTAGGGATTTTTCCAGATATTTTACTTCCATATGTGGAACATTCTAATAAGGTTAGGATAGGCCTTCAGATAGACCAACGATAGCCAATTCTGTCATTTCATCAAACTCTTCTGAAATGGCAAAAGTTTGCTTTGGCTTCCTCCATTTCCCCCGCTCTCAGCTTCTATACTTTCACTTTGCTCTCAGTTGTGCTAATGGAACATTATTTCTCTGCAACATAGCTGAACATTCAACTTATCTCTCTGTGCTGTATTATCTGACAATCCATTATGCATACTTGCCAAAATGTTTATGGCTTTTAAGAATAAGTCAAGTCTGTGTTCTCTCTGCCTTGAAGGTATTGATACATAACTTAAAATGATTTCCTGTAAAGGTTCTGCCATACATGCATATTTTCATGCTGCCAAAAGTAAAGGAGTGAAAGAATCTTGATGCATCCCTGTTATGGCCTATCGATAAATCTTTTCCTCAGATTTAATTTCAATCTTGAGGCAGCTCAACTTAAATCCATTTACCCTTAAATCCTGAATTGCAGACTCAAATTTAATTATGCCCTCTTCAAATCTCAAATCTCCACTTTGAATCTAAAAAAGCCCTGATTTGCATAGGATTCCTCTATCGCTTTTATAACTAGGAATACCATTGTAACAAGAAATAACTAGATCTAGGAACTTATTCTGTTAACTGTTTTCTTTCAAAAGAAACTCCCTCACTATTGGTATTGAATAGATGTTCAACAAGTAGACATGTTGTACATCCAGTTTGAATGGATGTACAACAAGTAAGTGGCTCAGTGGCTAAGATGCTGAGCTTATCAATCAGAAAGATCGGCAGTTCGGTAGTTCGAATCCCTAGCGCTGCGTAACGGAATGAGCTCCCGTTATTTGTCCCAGCTTCTGCCAACCAAGCAGTTCGAAAGCATGTCAAAATGCAAATAGAAAAATAGGGACCACTTTGGTGGGAAGGTAACAGCATTCCGTGCACCTTTTGCATTTAGTCATGCCAGCCACATGACCACAGAGATGTCTTTGGACAGCGCTGGCTCTTCAGCTTTGTAACAGAGATGAGGACCGCCCCCTAGAGCCAGAAATGACTGGCATGTGTGTGCAAGGGGAACCTTTACTTTTACTTACAACAAGTAGACATGGACGTGGATGGTCTTTTCCCGTAACCGTTTCAGCATTTTTGTTAATGTTACAGTGTTTGAATGTTTTGCTTCTGAGGTTTAGGGGAGAGGGTGGGAAGGCTTTAAGGCACATAACTGATGCCCTAAAACTGTTATATCTCACCTATTGAAAAAACAGAGAAATCAATCTGATGGGGAGTGGGAGTTTAAGGAATATTTTGTAATTCTTGAGTCCCTTTAATCAAGATAATAAAAGAAATGGAGTTTGGAAATTTAGGTCCACTGGTTATGAAATACCTATGAAGAAAACACTGGAGAGGTAAAATGGGTAAATCAGTCTTCTGCTTCATTTCAATTTAATAAACCATACGGTCCAATTACCTTTTATTATTTACTGTTTCTAACTTTTGTATTCTAGTTTGTGGTCATAAGCAGCACATCTTTTGGATATGTTGGGTCGATGTTAAATTGAACTTGATGATAAAACACATCACCTTCCTTTTCTGCTGCATCAGTGGCTGGAGCATAAACATGAATTATTGTGATATTAAGGGTTGTCCATGAAGTTCATTCAATATTATTTGGTCATCAGTTCCATTGTAATTGAATACTATTCTTGCTATAATCTTCCTAACTATAAACGCAATGCTGTTCCTTCTTTGTTTTCCATATCCTGAGTAATAAACAAATATCTAATCCCAGTCCATCTGAATTGACTGATGCATCAGATATCAATTAGTAATTGTTTCATTTCATCTTTCACTACTGGGTTGAACTTTTTCTTCCTTATATTCCATTTTCCTAGTGTAATTCTGTCTTTGCAGCTACAGATTTCCCCCCCCTGTACAGCAACACAACTAGATGTCCTGAAAGGTTTAATCTAACCATTCATAAATAACGTTAGTACTCTGAAAGACTCTCAGCTTTTCTTCAGTAGCCTGTTGAGCGCCATCTGAGCTAAGGGGCCCATCATCCAGCACTACATTGTCAATTATTTTATATTTTCTATCCAAGTGGTTTTCTTGGTAAAAATACAGGAGTAGTTTACTTCTGCCTCCTCTTGCACAGTGTGAACTGATGCCTTAGCTCTTGTCAGTAAAATGATCATCTCCTTCTGGCATCTTCACATCAGTGCTGCCTAATATATGTGTCTGCTTGCTTTAGGTGGGCAGCTGAGATACCTTTCATGCCTTGGGTGACCCTGCATAGAATATGTACTCTTAGCATATACTCCTGGAGTTCTTCACCTGTCCCTCCCAGGAACAACCTCTGCCAGAATGTAGCAGCACAGCAGGATATGGGAGTATTCCATATAGATGAGGTGATTTTTCTTCACTTACATTTCTTCATTAAACTATATTATTCCCTTCGTTGTACTAACATTCTCAATGGAAAACCTAGTTCAGAGGCTAGCATGTGATTCCTGTGCCTCAGGGTAGGTACCTGGGTGGTAGAAGCTCAAAAGATATAGAAGGTCTCAAGGTTGACATTTGAATGATGGATATTCATTTGCAAAAAAAATATATTACACCATAGTGGAAGAGTTTTCTTTTTAATGTCTGTGAGGGAAATAGTTCGGTACTTCTTTTGTTGCAGTATAGAGTACATAGTGAGGAAAGTAAAGAGCTGTATTTAATTGAGAGGAAGATTGAAAAATTGCATAGAAAATCGCAGCAACTGAAAGTAGCTTCCCTTATATTGCCAGAGATAAGGTTCTCAGCTTCAGCCTAAAGCATTTCTAGAGATTATCCCTTCCTCAGTAAAGATATGTCTTGCCCAAGACTCTGCATGCAGTTAAGTCAGTGAGTACATCTGACTGCCAGAAGCCATCCTTCAAAAAAGAGCAAGGCCTGGTTTAATAACTACTGATTGAAATGAATTGTCTATAAGTAGGGCAGCCTAATTATAAAATGGACCCTATCTGCATAGTCCAAGCACACAGGTTGACACACACACATTCCCGTGTTTCCCCCCCAAAATAAGACTGGATCTTATATTAATTTTTGCTCCAAAAGGCCCATTAGGGCTTATTTTCTGATTAGGTCTTATCTTGGGGAAAATACGGTACTAAATGTGTCCGTCTGGCTGACAATCTTAACCAGGGTTTATTCTGGGGATAGGGCTTATATTACAAGCATCCCGAAAAATCATGCTAGGGCTTATTTTCCAGTTGGTTGTTATTTTGAGGGAAACTAGATAGATACTTTTTCTTCCCTCTAGAAACAGAGCAAAATAGGCCTAAGAAGAGATAAATGCACTGGAAAGACAAGTGAAGGGACAGAGGGAGAAAAAAAAACTGAGAAATGGGAGCAAGAATTAAGCAGATAGAAAGGGAGGGAAGGGAGGGAAGGTCCTGTTTAGGTATTACAAAAAGGTATAAAGTTCACAAGGCAAGTACTGGCTAGACTGCAGCCTGATGTTCAAAGGCATTCACAAGTTGGGGCAGCATGGATGTTTCCAAGCATTTGTGCTTCTTGCCCCTTTCTTTGGTTTAAACAACAGAGCGCAGCCACTTACTGTAAATGCAAATCAGTCACAAATTATTTGGGAACCAAACTTCATCTGCCTAATGTGTAAATAGGGTACTAAATCCAGGTAGTCCTCGACTTATGTCCGTAACTGAGCCCAACTTTTCTGTTGCTTAGCAAGACTTGTGAAGTACGTTTTGACCCATTTTATGAGCTTTCTTGCCACATTTGTTAAGTGAATCCCTGCAGTTGTTAAGTTAGAAATGCAGTTGTTAAAGGAATCAGGTTTGCCCCATTGACTTTGCTTGTCAGAAGGACGCAAAACGTTATCACATCACCCCGGAACATTGTAACCGTCATAAATATGAGTCAGTTGCTAATTGGCTGAATTTCGATCATTTGATCAATGCTACGATGGCTGTCAATGTGAAAAACGGTCATAAGTCACTTTTTTCAGTGCCATTGTAACTTTGAACAGACACTAAACAAGCAGACTCAACTACCAGACATAAGAGATGCAGAAGATAATGCAGTTTCAATAAAACAGTTCAGGTTTCTGAGACAGATGGATTTGATCTTCTAACCCCCTGTATGAACATAATCTCAGGAGTTGTTAGTTAAACTGGGACTTTTCCATATGTCTTTGTCTAAATAGATTTATATGTCAGAAAATAGGAAGAAATCTTGTCCCTGCTGCACAATTAAATAAATAAGCCAACATTAAATATCCATTTTCTTTTACACTTTCATTCTGTAAATGCACTTACAGTCCATTACAGCAGGGAAGATAAAATCCATATAGACATAACAACAATGTAGCTTGTACAAATTCAATTTAGAAAAGCACTTAAATGTTACTTTAAAATATTTGAATGTTTCGGTGCCGGTGTTTTAATAATCAGGATTCATTTTAAAGAAAGGAAAGTCGCGGAAAGTTTTATGGATTCCCAACTCTATTTCTCAATTCATATATAGATTGGGTCTTATAATTCCCTTTATGTAACAAGGAAGTGGTCATGGAATAACATCACACAAATCACTTTAGCTGTAAATCTTACACCAGGGAGTACATCTCTTCTTCTTTTTTTTTTAATAAAGTTTTATTTGGGTTTTCACACACAAAATACAAGTAAAACATCTTTTTTGAAAATAGCATGGTCCCAGGTTGAATTTCTTTATACAGACACAAAACTCAATTTCATGCTCCTTTTTGTATTCTACTCCATATCTTATACTATTCTACATTTTCTATATAGTTTTTCCCCTCTTTTAATTTTCTCAATTTTATTTTGATTATCTCATCTCAATTCAAATCATTATATTTATACTTTTGTCTGTTCTGTTTCAATTTCATATTATCTTTTCTCATTAAACAAATTTTCTCCTGTAGTTACTAATTGGAGTATGACATCTTTATATCTTTTAATTACATCCATTCAACTCTTATTTAAACTTCAATATATACCTTAAGTTTATGACCTTCAATATAATACATAATATATAACTTCTAATCGAATTCTGCTTGGTACATTATTATAATACACACTGTATTCTTTAAAAAGAAAGAAAGATTGTAAATATGTGTAATTATAAACCCTCATTCCATTCCAGTTCAGTT